ATTCCGCGACCCTCAGGGACAGTCCCCGCTGGTTTCACAGCCCGGAGTTGTNAGTCCGCGCCGGGCCCTTTGAGAGGAGCTGCTGGGGCTCCCGCAGCCTCTGCGACCCTCAGGGACAGTCCCCACCGGTTTCAAGGCCCGGAGTTGTGGGGACGTCTCTTCCCGGCCTGGAGCCCTGGGCTGGGGGCCTGCTGTGGGGCTGGGACCCCGCCCTCCTCCGGAAAACCTCCACCGCTGAGATTCCCTCCTGGGTTTACCCGAGGCACTGGGTGTAGGCCAGTGGCCGTGTCTCCAATTGAGCTCCATCGGCCTGCGTCCCCGCCCCTCCTCCGGGTCTCGGTGCTTCTTCAGCTCCCTGGCTGTGGGGCTTCTGTGCAGCTGAATCCCAGGAGGCTCTGAGTGATGGTAGTTCTGTGGTTTAGTTGTGATTTTGATGTGGCTGCGGGAGGCGGCGGGTGCAGCTGTCCCCTGCGCCACCATCTCGTTTCTCCGTAGACAGTCTTAACATTCTGTAACTCAGCCTCAAGTCACTTCCATCCCTGATTGAATTAGGATGATCTTATTTCACTCTGTCAGAAGACAGGGTGATCCCTTCCTGGAGGGAAAACAACAAAATCCAGATGATGAAGTTGGGTATAAAGTTTCCCCCAGAAAGGCAACTGTCACTTTTTCATGTAAAATCCAAGACGATGCCAAGGCCAGGCTGGCTGAGCTCCCGAGTATAGATACCATTTGTATTTTACCACCAAGGCATTTGGGATCCTTCCTTTGTTAGTCAATGAGTCTGAGTTGAAACACCACAAACAAGGAATGCCAGGTGGAAGAGACCACCTTGGGTGTAGCCATCCGTGTCAACAGCTTAGCAACAAGTCAATAATGCCGGCCTTGGTTTAGAAGGGACTACTGGTGGCTGCATCCAGCAGGTGGCGATGTTGTACCAGAAAAATGTCCTCTGAGTGCCTGGAGGCCTTTCTGTCTTTAACCCAAGCTGGGATTTCCCTTTCTACTTTTGGGATTCTATCTAGTATTCAGAGGAGACAGCGAAATGGTTTGGGGTCAATCCACATGTTCCACTTGAAGCGGTTCCTGAATTGGAGAATCCCCTCTGGCACTTACGAATTGAGAAGTACAGGCATGCAACACATCAGTTCCACAGCAGTGCATCCAGAGGACTCAACCCACAAGGTCACTCCAGCTTTCCTTCCCCACCTCAGCTCTTGCCTAACCCCATCAATTGAATTAGGGTGACTTTCCTCCTGTGGGAGCACCATGCAAATCATAGATTCTCTCCAGAAGCCCAGGGAAGTTCAGGGTGATGGAGGCAGGCTAACTAAGGGTGGGGCAGTGGAGCAGAGAAAACTTAATTGCCAGTCTCTTTCCTGCCCTTGTCCTCTTGTTCCAGGCTCAGCACCTTGGCACAGTGCTGTTTCTTCTCTCATGTACCTCTCAGTGTCTGGTGAGCACCCAAGCCTGGGGACTACCCCCTACCCCTCACCTCAACTCCATGCCTCAGTTCTCAGTATCTTTGACCACTCCTGTGCTCAGAATCTTTTCCTCTCTTGACCAGAGTAGGATGGGGATTTGGGCACCTGAATTCAACTAGGCCAAGTTTTATTCTTTCCCTCCCATGTTCACACAAGCGTATATGGCCTTTGGGCCCCTCGGGAACAGGGAGATCTCAGTTCCAAAAGCAGCTGAGGTTTTGTTAAAGGATGAAAGGAGGAACCGGGGGATGGGTGAGGCTGGAGACAAGAGCGACTACATGCTTCTATTCTTGGTTGTGAGTGGTTGTGGTGCTTTGGGTTCAACCAAATGAACTTTTAGGTTTTAGTTCACCCAAAGCTAATCAATAGTAACTGCCACCAAATAGCAAGGTCAGTTGGTGAACACGTGGAGGTGCTAGGAGAGTGGTGCCCCTGGAGAGGGCAGGGGAGCTCCATGCCCCTTCCCATATACCTTGCACTGGTGACACCTCAAGTCTTAGGCTCCCAAATGCCTGCACCATGCAATGGAGACAGGGCCCCCTTTTCTGTTCACAAATTCCCGCATCTTTCTTTGCAGTCAGAGCTCCGGACAGAGTTCAGAAGTTTAGTAGAAGAAATGAAGGGGCTGGAGAGGTCTGGGGGCTGGCAATCAAGTGTCAGGGTTGGCTCCTGTGTAAGAAGGGAGGGGACATGGTTCTAAATGAGACACTGGCTTTGAAATGGGCTCCAGCCTGGAGGGAAGCTGGTGGGCTTCTTAGTTTTCTGTCTGCTCATCCCTTTGGCCCAGCACCCCAAGACATATTCATGTCTTCCTCTTATTTTCTTTTCTCCCCCACAAGGTCGTCTTCTTGGTGTGGGTCAAACCTCCCTTTTCTTTCCCTCAAGAGGACACCAGTCATTGGATTTAGGTCCCACCCGAAATGCGAATGATCTCATCTAGAGATCCTTAACTTAATTACTTTTGCAAAGACTCTGTCTCCAAAAAAGTCAAATTCACATTCACAGATACTAGCAGGCAGGACTTGAACATATGTTTTCCGGGGACACAAATATGGAAGTGAATATTTTGGAAAAGAAACACAGTATCAATGAGAAAAAAAGGGGCATGTTTAACTCTTTTGCGAGCTCATCTGGAATTCCCATGTGGGAAATGAGCAGAGACAGAAAAGAGGTGGACAGTAAGGAAGATCAAAAGGAAACAGAAAGAAACCGTTTTTTCCTACCTATGTGAAATTTTAGGCTGATCTTTTACACCATACTTCTCAGTGTCCGTGTATTTCATCTGAACAAAAAACCTCTGGTGGTAGGATTTCTTTATAGCATAATTTACTTTCAGGACATAGTGAGCGTGCAGATGACCTGTAGTTAGTAATCAGTTAAAGTTGTGACATACACTTTATGAGAAAAACTGCATTACCGCCTCACGAACAATAACTTACGATTCTACACATGTTCACGTATTGTGTGTGTGTGTGTGTGTGCGCACGCACGCTGATTACCTAGCAACACCACTTCCTTGTAAAGCTGAGAACTATTTTCCCCCAGAATCCCTGTGTTATGGGTTGGCCTTTGTCCATGAGAAAAACTCCTAAGAAACTTGGAAGGTGAAAATTAAGTGGTAGGCATCGTTTCTTGGATGATCGTGGAGATCAGACAGGACTGTGGTATCTACACGCCCTCCCACTTGGAGGCTGTGTCTGATGCAGCAACTTTCCAACCTCTCTGGAAGCTGCTCCTTTACCATCATGGTGACAAGAGGTGGGACTGGCTCAGCCTCCCCCAAGTCAAGCAGCCACTTCTCCCCATGCCCAACGCTTTGGCTGACAGCCTTATGGATCTCTCCCCCTGCTCCTCCCACACTCATCTAACCCCTCGTTTCTAATTAAATACCCTATTCTTGTAATATTTATGGTGGCTTTCTTCTCCGGACGAATATGGACTCATACCATAACTGTATATACATATGCTAGGTCGTCCAAGACAGTCCCAGTTTCATGATAAATCCCATAATACCCCCAAGGATATAATGCATTTCCACAGGATTAATATGTCCGAAATCTAGAAAAGGTGACCATACCAAATGCCGGCGAGGATGTGAATGAGTAGGAATTCTCTTCCTTCCCTGGTGGGAATGCGAAATCGTACAGCCACGTGGAAGACAGTTCGGCAGATACTTTCGAAGTTAAACGTAAGTTTACCATGCAGTCCAATGACCACCCTCCTTGGTGTTTACCATATGTGAATTGAGAACATACGTTTATACAAAAATTTGTACACAAATGCTTATAGCAGTTTTATTTATTATCACCAAAAAAGGAAGCAACTAAGAGATCTTTCAAAAGGTGAATAAAAAAAAAAAATTGAGATATACAATAGAATATTATTCAGTGATAAAAAGAAATGAGCTATCAAACCATGAAAAGACTCAGAGGAACTTCAGTTGCATATTGCTAAGTGAAAGGAGTCAATCTGAAAAAGCTACATATAATATGGTTCCACTTATAGGACCTTCCGGAAAAAGCAAAACTATAAAGACAGTGAAAAGGTCAGTGGTCACCAGGAGTCAGGGCAGAGGGGAGGGATAGGTAGGTGAAGCCCAGGGAAATTTTAGGTGACCTTCTCTTTAAAACCCACAAGCCCAGTCTAATTATTACAAAAATATCAAATTCCAGTAGAAGAGCATCCTACAAAATATCTGATCAGTAGTCTTCCTATTAAAGTCATTAAGAACAAGAAAAGTCTGACAAAGTGTCACAGCCAAGAGGAGCCTAAAGAGACGTGACAGCCATATATAATGCGGCTGGAAAGAATCCCGGAACAGAAAAAAAGACATTTGTTAAAAACTAAGGAAATCTGGATAAAATAATGTGATCTTTAAGACATCCCCCTTGTTCTGATAGCCTGTAAATACATGAGGAGTGGCTACCACTCTCTGAATTTCAGAACACCTATGCCCTGACAGTTCTAGTAATATGAGGATTTTGGAAATTCTAAAAGATTTTTACTTGAGATCATTTTTAATTGAGCATTTAGCTCCACAGTTAATATTAACCGAAGCCCTAAGTTTTGCTACCGACTGACCCACACATTTTCTAAGCATTTACTTTCTATGTGCCAGACATGAGATGAACAAGTTTTGGATCCTGCCTTCAAGCAACCGAACTTACGGGAAGATATGGAAGGTGGAAAACCTTCCACAGCTAATTCTCTTAAAGCTCGGAAGCAGACTGAATTCTCACTGTCAACACCCCTCGTCGCTCATCATTTCCACATCCTGCTGAGTTTTGAATAATTCATCATACCACGCCCCATAGTTTTGTTTAATATTATGGAGGATGGATTCCATGGTGATGCCTAACTCAATGATACTGGAAAATTCATTTTGGTAGAGATTACGGAAGCCAGCAGCATGCATGGCCACCAATGAACCTTTTGAATCGAACACTGGAGAGCCAGAAGACCCAAAGTAAAAACAGGTGTCATAGGTAATCACATCAGGTCTGGGAACAATTTCCTGGAAACTTTTTTGAGTGAACATATGGATAAACTGCAGGTCATCATTATATCCTTCAGCCTGAAGATGTTCCCGATATTTCTCGACTCGCTGCTCCTGAGGGATTATAACACAAGCATCGGTAGCCTTTGCCTCTCTGTCTGGATGGCCGATGATATATATCAACCCACTACGTGGTGCAGGACCAATTCCATTGTAGAGTCCCACAGGTACTTGCTGTCCATTTTCCTTCAGCTTCAGAACGGCATAATCGAGGTCCGCATCAGACACCTCAAACCAAGGTTCAACGGGAAAGAAGTTCTTGCCGTCTTGGCTGTCTTCGTAACCAAAGGCCACCCTTACACACTCACCAATTACGGAAGCCCACCCACTTGGACTGATCCCTTTTCCCACCATGTTACTTATTACATGCCGACAGGTGAAAATGTACAGCCCTGTAAACACAAAGCAGGTGGCACAGCCCTTATTTCCGTTGTTGTCCCATTCTATGTACCCAACTGACTGGCTGAGGTGACAAAGAAGCTTGAGTGTTTTAACCGGGGTAGAGTTTTTGGTCACTTTCCCAAAGTTTGTTTTTTGCTCAAGAAACAATCTTCTCTCCTTAGTCTTTTTCAGTTTCTTTTTGAAGATTTCTCTAATTTTTTCAGTTTCTCTTTTCAGGCTAGGGTACTGGGCCACAATTTCTCCTCCCAGCACACCGGCGTTTCCGTCCCCCGGCTGGGGGCTCGGCGGGGCCGCCGTCTTAGCGCCCCTCAATCTCTTGACCTCCACCTGGAAGAGCTTGCCCTCCAGGGCGTCGACCAGCTGGCTGCTTTCTACAACGGAGTCCAGGCCCTCGATGAGCCTCCAGTCCTCGCTCTCCAGGAAGGAAAGAAACCTGCGGTCCTTGCAGAGGGCGTCCTTGACCGTTTCCCCCTTGAAGGCGAACACGCAGAGTCTGCACCCTTCCTTGTGCAGCTCGCCGCGCCTCACGAGCCTTTTTCTCTCCTTCCCAATGGCGTGGATGAAGAACTTGACACAGTCGGTGGACCCCTTGTCAAGCCGGCCAAATATCTGGTTCTCTGCTTTCTGCTTGCTTTTACTCCTGGCAAATGTAACCGCTAGGTGGCAGTTGTCGGGCAAGCAGCTGAGGGGCATCCCGAGGTTTACGTAGCCTTCGATCTCCTTCACGCCCCTCACCAGCATTTCTCTGCCCGACTGAGCTTCTCTCTCCTCCTTCACAGCCTGAAGGGTGTCGATGGCCACCGATAAGCTGTACTCAGGATTATGTGTGAGCATGTGCTTCCTTTGTTTGTTTTTCCTGAGGTGTACATCCAAGATAATGTAAAGTACCTTATTTGGGGATATAGCCTGGTCTTTGCGTCCAAGATCCTGGGTATTAGTTATATTTTTGAGGCCTTTTCTGGAGCCCATCTTCATCTGAGGCATGCCGGGATTATTCTCTTGTTTCTTATCGATCTAAAATGTTAAAATGTTAAAGGCTGTAAGACTATGGAAGCAACCCTTGCCTTTTGTTTCTCTTTTTAGTATGCAATTCACAAAATTTCTATAGGAAACTCAGAACCAATCTCCAAAGGCCAGTGAATAAAATTAAGTCAGAGTTTGAGTTGGGGGCTAAAATATAAGCTGAGTTTTCTCTTCCATCAGTTAGATAAGCTTTTCATACCGTTAGACTGGTGCATTTTTCTGAGAAGTAGAACAGGAATCACTGTTTCTAGGCGCATCAAAAACAGAAATGCTTAACATCTGCCGGCTCTCTTACAGAGTTCTGTCAGGTCTGTTTACTACTTTCAGCTGTATCATTTTTTTTTTTTAATATATCTTTATTGATTTCAGAGAGAGGAAAGGAGAGGGAGAGAGAGAGATAGAAACATCAATGATGAGAGAGCCATCGATCAGCAGCCTCCTGCATGCCCCCAACTGGGGATCAAGCCCGCAACCCGGGCATATGCCCTGACCGGGAATCGAACCCCAATCGCCTGGATCCTAGATCAACGCTCAACCACTGAGCCACGCCCGGCCGGGCAGCTGTATCATTTTTACTTTCTCTGATCACAGTGATGGATTGCACCAAAAACTTGTTTTTAAAGCCCCAAACTCAGCAAGGATAAGGTATCATGGTTTATTATTGGGCACAAAATGTTAAAGGAAACCATCATCAGTTCACTAATTATTTGGTCATAATAACATAGTTATTTCTAATAATAAAACCCTGATTCACCCAGCATCTATTATGTAAAGAACTCAAGTTATTTCCTCTATAACATCAATTAATTCCCAAATCCCATGAAATGAAGAGCAACAAACACAGCATCTGTTCTTCTGATGGAGAAACTGAGGCACAGAAAGTTTTTCCTGTAAGTGCCTTTCTTAGGGTTACATAATAACCAGTTAACAAAGAGACTATCTGAACTCCAATACTTAGTCCACTATTTTTTTCATTAGACTACATATTGGCTTTTTGGGTAAATTTTATATCCACAATTCCTTTTTCTAGGGCATTATCTTAAAGACCAGGGATGAAAGAAGGGAGAGGAATTACATAAGGAGGATTAATCGAATAGCAGGAATTCAATAAAAACTTAAGAGCACCTGATTCCTACATCTAAAAAATACATATTGGCCAAGAAGGATTCATCGTGGCTCAAGTGGCAACAGATGCCGCTTGCTGGTAATGGGAAAAACACCAGGATTGTTGCAAAAATGAAGTGTAACATCCTATGTGACAATGTCTAGCCCAGTGACTGGCACATTAATAAGTTAACTTTTATTTTCCTTCTTTGTAATGGTACTAATATTCTGGATAAAAACAAAAGAAACACAAGGTAATATAAATTGACTCTGGGCACACATATAAACTCCCAAAGAGTGTCCCTCCAGCCCAGTGCTGTCAGAAGCATCCTTGACGCACAGCCCACTGGAACACTACGGAGCATTTCCAACGAGCCCAAGGATTCCTGGGCAGATGTAGGCAGTTTGAAAGGGGCACCTGGAGGCCTTGCAGGGTTACTAGCTGGGACAGAGGAAACCAGAAGTAGGCTTGGCTTGGCTTTTCTATGCTTTTGGATATTCTAGTTAGAATCAGAATAAAAGAAAAGTTAAAGGCTTTCTCAAATGCTCACCATCTCGCAACATTTTTCGTAATAAATTCAAGGAGCATTTTAGACTCGAGAAGGGATATGATGGTTTGATAAGATAACAGAGCCCCGTTAGTACAAAGGGCCCCCCCTAATGTCAGTAAACTTAAGTCCAAGTCTTCATCCCACTACTGCCTTAAGAAGCAACACACTCCTTTCCTCTCTTTGTAAACAACTTGAGGATAAGAAAGTCCTCCCTGCCTGCCTAATAAGCTTATAGTGAGATAAATATTTAAGAATTTTTTCTCTAGATTGTAACAAATGTATTATTGTTATCAAATAGATCAGCCGTATTTGCATGGTATATACTTTCTGGCTATGAAGTGACATTAATTTTGTTTTCATTCCATATTTTACTGTAATGCATTATATTTGATTTTTGTCGCCGGTGTTCAGGAAATGTTACAATAGCTTTTTGTTAAAGGCTGCTTTGATACGGCTAAGATTTTTATTAGAACTCCTTCTCACAGCCTCCCCTCAAAATGGAAAGAATAAAATGAATGAGAAAGATTTTAACTTATTTTACATTCCCTACATTCAATGAGGTGATTTCTCAGCAGGAAGATCATAAAACCCAGTGTGAAGGATAGCTAAGTCTAATACTGATATATTATGTAAACAGTATTTACAAGCGTACCTGAGGAAAGTAGTCATCAATTTTCTTATTATTCTCAATCACAGCGACCTTCTGTGACTTCCGTTTCTTAGAGCTCATGATGGCTTGAAGAGGCAGCTCAGCTGAAACACTAACAAGGTGCAAGTTAGAGCAGCATCTTCATCGTTACCATTAATTGTACAGAGAACAAGCTGAACAGGGACCTCACAGCCTACCTTTCCCTTCAGCTCCAGGCCTGCCCTTCTCAGAGGTGTTCACTTAGCAAGTAGACAGTTTATCCACCAACTAGAATCACCCCAATCATAAAAGCTCTCCTCGATAGAGAACTGTACTGAATACTTTATAAAAGTTACCTCTCATTGCCATTGCCCACAGATACCATGCAAAATAGGCATATCTGCTTTTGCAGATGGGGCAAGTATGACTCAGAGAAGGTAGGTGACCTCCCCAAGGCCAGAGCTACATGGCAGAGATGAAATTCAAAGGCAGGCATAGACACCCCAGAGAAGGGATTGCAGTTGGAGAATTCAAATGTGTGTTCTCGTTACACTGATGTTAAAATCTGGCCTCCAGATTTTATGACAGGGTGGTGGTGTAATTCCAGGAAAACATGGGAAAAGAACCATAAAGACAAAGGTACAGTGGGAGTTTGCCTGGGAAGACAGGATGTTAGTTGCTACTTCTGTTTTGTTTGTTTGCTTGTTTAAAGAGGTATTTCCCCCTCTTTCCTCTGCCATCTCTACATGAACAATGTAAATAAAAGAGTGAAATAGTCAATAGTGATAAATACCACTAGAAATAATGGAAGCCATGGAAGGGCAGCCGCCCCTTGACCTCAGCATCTCAACATCTAATACAATGCCTGATACATGGCAAGCCCTCAATAAAGATACATTCATAAAGATACATTCAATGAATGAATGGAGTATGTATATCATGCTCTATGCCCTATTCTATGTGCTTTTCCCAAATTACCCAATATAATGCTTACAACCCTGTGAGATACGTATGATTAGTCCCATTTTACTGGTAAAGAGCTTGGACACCCATAGAAATTAAGCTACTTACTCCAGGTCACAAAGCCCCAGAGAGTATACTTTTGTTGACTTTTTATTATAAACATTTTCAAATAGAAAAAGAGAGACAATAATGTAATGAGCCTCCACATACCTATCATATAAGGCTAATAATTGCTCATTTTTTTTGAAAATTTGCATCATTTTTAAATTTTGTTATTTTACTGTTAGAGACATCATGACATTTTAACCTTAAGTATCACTTTTCATCTCTGAAAATTTAGGACTTTTTCTGACATAATCCAAATACTAATTTATTCAGGCCAAGATCCAATTGAGGGACATGTGTTGTCTTTAATTATTATCTCTTAAGTTTATTTTATCCTAGAAAAAGCAGATTTGTTGAAGAGAACAGAGAAATTGTTTGCAGAAATTTCACCTCCGGATTCTGCTTCTTCATGTTGTTGCTTAATTTATGCTCTAGCCCCTGTAGTTTTTGTCAAGCAGAACTTATCTAAAGTCAATGCTTTAAAGAAGATGTGGTACATATTATATACAATGGACTATTATTCGGCCATAAAAAGAATGAAATCTTACCACGTGTGACAACATGGTTGGACATGAAAGGTATTACGCTAAGTGAAATAAGTCAGAGAAAAAAACAAATACTATATGATTTCACTTATATGTGGAATCTAAGGAACGAAATAAATGAACGATAAAAACAGACTCATAGATACAAAGAACAAACTAATGGTTGCCAGATTGGGTTGGGGGAAGCTGGGTAAGAGAGGTGAAGGGATTAAAAAGTACAATTGGGCCCAGCTGGTATGGCTCAGTGGTTGAGCTCAACCCATGAACCAGGAGACTGCGGTTTGATTCCCAGTCAGGGCACATGCCCAGGTAGTGGGCTCAATCCCCAGTAGGAGGCGTGCAGGAGGCAGGCGATCAATGACTCTGTGTCATCATTGATGTTTCTCTCTCTCTCTCTCTCTCTCCCCCTTTCCCTTCTCTCTGAAATCAATAAAAACATGTTAAAAAAAAGTGCAATTGGCAATTACAAAATAGACATGGGGATGTAAAGTACAGCATAAGAATACAGTCAATACTATTGTAATAACTGTGGTGTCAGGTGAGTACTAGACTTATCTGGGGGATCACTTTGTAAAGTATGTGCTTGTCTAACCACTATACTGTATACCTGAAATTATACAGATATTGAATGTGAACAGTAATTAAAAAAAATTTTAAATTAAAAAGCATGAATAACTAGCCTCTAATTTAGCTATTTCTTAATGACACTAATAAATACCATTTTTAAATTTTGAGGCAACAATAGAGACTATGCTTACTCTCTTAACCATTCCACTATGCAACAGGAGCCCTGGCTTCATCATTTTCTGGTAATGAGCTTCTCAGGAAACTCACTTCAGCCTCTCTCAGTCTTCGTTTTTTATTCATTTTTTTTTTTCACTTTGAGCATTTATTAATTTTAAATATAATTTATTTATAAGTTTACATAATTTTTAAATAATGGCTACATTATACAAATGGTTCTCACAATTTCTGAAAATTACTCCTACACATCACTGTCCCTAAGACAGAATCTCAAGTTAAAAGATATGAAACTTTCTGAAACATTTAAACCATAAAAAAGTTTTAAAATAAGATGTAAATAACAAAAAATGCATTAATCAACTTTCTGGAAGGCAATTTAACAATACATATCAAAATATAAGACTTACCAATTCTTTGACCAAGCTGTTTAACTTTCATTCATTAATTAAACAAGATTATTGAGAACCTATTAAGTGCCAGGAACTTCTTTTTTTTAAAAAAAAATCTTTATTGATTTCAGAGAGAGGAAGGGCGAGGGAGAGGGAGCGATAGAGAGAGATAGAAACATCAATGATGAGTCATTGATCGGCTGCCTCCTGCATGGCCCCTGCTGGGGATCGAGCCTGCAACCTGGGCATGTGCCCTGACCAGGAATCGAACTGAGATCTCCTGGATTGTAGGACGTGCTCAACCACTGAGCCATGCTGGCCCGGCAGGAACTTCTTTTTTAAATTTATTTTTATTGAACTTATTGGGGTGGCATTGACTAATAAAACTGTAGGTTTCAGGTGCACAATTCGCTTCAGCTTCTCTTAGGCTGTTTGTGAACTGAGGCAATGACACTAAATGAGATACTGAATATGAAAGTGCCACATGAATGGTAGTTTTTAAAGACCACTTGGGTTCAAATTTCAGGTTACCATTTACTAGCTGCTTGACCGTGGGCATGTTACTTAATACTGCACCTCAGTCTCCGCTCCCCTCAGATGGGAACAGTGGTGAGATCATCCATTATTGTGACGATTGAAGAATATACTGAATGTAAAGTTGTTAGAAGATACTTCTAATTGAGGAACTGGGCTATGTTGTATAAGTTCCTTGAAGGCAGGGCCTTAAGGTGCAACAACGAAGAGAATTTGGGGGTTCACTGTGTTTGCTGCTGACCCATCTTATGGAATTTGAAAGAGGCCCCAGGAGCTTTAGGAGCGATGGTTACACGTAGACCAAGAGAGAACTATAAAATGGGCAGAAACAAATGAGTTCTGGGATGAACTTGAGCAATCACAGTGGAGAGGGGCAAAAGGTTAGGAAAATGGCCCATATCCCTTCCCTAAGGTGGTTTCCAGTATCCAGACTTCAAACTGTGAAGCCCTGCTTATGGTCAGAGGAGCCAAGGCTTTGCTGACCTAAAGGCCTGGCCCTATGTCGTTCAGTAAAGGGAAAAAGAAATATAGCCTGTCTTTGGTCCATCTCCAGCCCACCCAAGGGCTTCCCCTTGGAATTCATCTCCCCCCACATCTCTCTCTGTTTCTCTCTCTCTATCTCTCCCCCGTCCCCCCTTCCCTCTCCCTCTGGCTCCTCCACTCTTTCAGCTCTCTCTTCCCTTCTCACTCCACTCTGGGGCTGGGCTGGCTCGCTAGAGCTGAGCCGGCCTATAGAGAGCAGGGATCTGATCGCGGCTGACCCTGGGCCTCCACCAAGCCCAGCACCACGCTCCCTCCAGCACACAGCCCATGACGAGAAGCAGTCACTGAAATAAACCTGTGTCCACTCTGCCCCTCAGGTAGGCAGCGCTGTCCCACCCAGGCCAGGCGTGGGGGGCAGGCAGCTCGTTCTGTTCCAGCCCCTCAGACTCCCACCCACCCAGCAGAGCTCCCCAGTGCCCCACCGCTTGGCTCTCACCCACTCATGGGGTCGCCTGGCACGCCACCTGCACCCGGGACTGAATCCAGACCCCCAACTGAGGTCGGTTCTTTTTTAAATTTTACTTTACTTAAAAAATTTTTTATTTTATTTTTTATTGTTCAAAATATTACAGATGTCCCTTTTTCCGACGTGGGCTCTTGTTGGAGCTGCGCAGGTAGCTGGCCCAGGAGGGGGCACCCTGTTAGCTCCCACCTGCAGGACTGGCAGCATGTGGGGCTGAGATTGGAAAAGATTTCCTTCTTTTGGGGAACTGCCTTTCTCCCAGCCACAGGATCACTTTAGCTTTCCCACCCACCCCGCTCTTCTTCCTTAGCTTCCCCAAACCCTCCCCCTCCTTGCCTCACTCCATCTCCTTTATTTCCTTGCTCCCTTCGGACACCCAGGGGAGCAGGAGCCAGGTGAGGTATTTGATGTTGGGTTGTTTCAGAAAGTCCCACCAGCCTGAAACAGCCTTCAGAGCTTCTTACTCCCCAGGGCCAGCTTGAGGAGCAGGCTGGCCAGAGCCTATGGCTGGCAAGGAACTGGACATTATGCAGTCAGGGACAGTCACAAATGCAGTGCACCCTGTAGTTACTGGGGGTGGCGGCCGGGGGACTTCCAGGCCTGGGTGCCAGGAGGGGCAGCAAGGCAGAGTGGGTTCGAGTTCCTGTTTTGAGGAGACAGAGCTGAGAGACTACGGTGGCTGGAGTTCACAGAACACAGAGCCCTCTGGGTTATATGCAGAGGGCTCCCCTCAGGTATTCAGCTGGGAAGGGACAGGGCAGCAATGGGGGGAACTACCTAAGGCAGGAAAGAAACCCCCCACCCAACAACCACAAAACAATTCGAGCGTATGTGTCCTTAAACCCTCCCCCTACACCCCACCTGGGCATCTCAGTTTCCTCATTTGTAAATGAAGGAACTTGGCTCAGATTAAACTTTGGCTGTGCCTGTGAATTAGCCCCGTGGACAGTGACACAGGAAGGTAGGGGGCCCTCCCTCCAAGGTCAGCATTCAGGACCTCTGGAGTGCAGTCCAGGAAATGGACTTTTAACGCCCCCCCCCCCC